ATATTAAAAAGAGAGAGAGAGAGAGAGAGAGAGAGAGGGAGAGTATATTTTCAGTACCCTTCTAATTCTCTTCGCTAGTTAGATAATGATAACGATAGTGATGATGAGGGGGAAAAAAAGGGGGAATGGGATAGGAATTCTCTTCTTTCTTTTTCTTTTTCGTGCCAACAGTCTCGATTTTATTCGCGTTCATTCGTTGGACTAATATCCCGAACATAACAGGTTCCTTTATGGTTCTACTATACTCCTCTCCTCCTCTCTCCTTCCTCCTTTCCTACTCGTTGTCGTCGCATAATTTATCGTTGCGCGTGGGCGCATCTACTGGCAACTTGCGTACCCTCGACTGGCTTTCCCTTTTTCGGAAATCCGCTTGTTCGCTTTTCTTTGTCACGGAAATGTAAAAGGAACGAAAAAACGAAAGAAAAGAAAGTTTTGCTTTTATCGATTGAATTCAAGATGATAATGACCGACAGAAAATTTTCTTCGAGGACGACGACGATGATGCTGATGATGATGATCTTATTTAAAAATATTATTCAATACAGCCCTTTTATTTATTTATTTTTTGTTTTTTAAATCCAAGAAAAATTTCTTAAATATTTCGTTCAAAAAGAAAGGACAATTTTAATTATAATTAATTTTTAATGAAACGTTTTTATCGAATTTCAAGAGAAAAAATTACAAAAAGAAAAAAAAAAAAATAAGCTTACTAACCATTAAGATGAAGATCTTAGATGTGTCTAGATCTATTTTTCATGTGATTCTTTTTAATTCTTACGAAAATAATCGTCACTGATTTTACGGCATCTCTGCTATTACTATTACTATTACTATTACTATTACTATTAATTACAGATCGAAAAGGTGTGATCAACGTGCTCACGAATACACAAATAACGTTCTTTTAATTAACCATTTAAGAGAGCGATGATTTACGTTGGTATTAATTTACGATCTTTAATAGGATCGGTGTTCAGCGGGAAAATCATTATTATCGTTCGTTTCATCTCTCTTAGCAATTTCACCTGTAATAATTTTCTTTTGCATGATATAACGAGATGGTGTCACGTTTCTACTTTTTTTTTTTTCTTTCTTTTTCTTTTTTATTTATTTTTTTTTTATTTTTTTTTTTATTTTTTTTTTTTACCCTTATCCTTTCCTTTTATTATTTTAGTTTTATTTTTATTTTAATTCTTACCTTTTATCTTTGCATGCATTTATTTTTTCACATCATTTTGTCATTACACACACACATATATATATATATATATATATCTGCATATGTGTATATATATAAATACGCTATCTTTTCTCCCATATCAATGCACAAAACAAAGATGAAGTTGCATCACGCACGATTCTTACTACAGAGCAAGCTGTAATAATAATGATCACTGGATGGATCATGAACGGTACTCATTCGGCACGCACACTTGTTACAGAAAATGATCTCTCCGTTGCACGCACTCACGATATTATATGCTCTTGCAAATGCTATTAAAATATAACAGGATAATTTAACATAAATGTGATAAATCCCGATCATTCATGACAATTTTAATGACTCTCTGTCTCTCGAATGTCGAAGCGTCTCCTGCAAGTGATTGAATAAAAAAAAAAAAAAAAAAAAAAAAAAAAAAAAAAAAAAACCACAAAGAAAAAATATTTTCGCAATTGTAATAGAGAATATTTAATAAATATATAAAGATTCATTTATATCGATCGAATTAATTATCATACGTTAAATGATTTAACGTATTAATCATTCTAAGAGACAGACTTTAATGTCTCTTTATATTAATCAAGTTTGATTTTGCAATCGAATTTGGTAATTGACGATTAATTACTACGTCTTAACGTTTTAACGATTTAACACTTTTATTATCTTGGAAAAGTGGCATTACCTTTTGTATGCATTAAGTCTAAAAAGAGGAGAGATTCCGCATTAGCTCGTTAAATGTCGGTCCGTAAAAGGAGCATTAGCCGTAAAACCCACGCTCAATTTATATCCAAGAACGCGCGCGCCTCTTATTCAAGTTACGTCTAATAAATCGAGATATGTAGGTATATTTACTTATCCGTGTATCTATTCGTGTTGAGATACGTACGTACGTAACGAGCTAGCACAAAAACGAGCCGAGATTAGTTTCAATACGATAATACAATATGATGGCTCATGATACATCTCATCTGACGGTCCTCTTAAATAAATAAATTTGATTTTCATTCATTGAATTTCGTTTCGTTCGATAATACGACGATCATGCATCGTAATGCATGCATCTCGCGATAATACCTAAACGAATAAAATTCGAGTGCATCGAATTCCTTATTGCATTTTCTTTTCTTCTTTCTTTTTTTTTTCTTTCTCTCGTTTTTATTATTTTTTTTTATTTTTCCCCATCAAATCCGTTCGATTCGATAGTACGATGCATCCTGATGCATTTTACGACGCTCTTCGCGAATAAAAAAAATTACAATTTTTCTTTTTTTCCTCGATTTTCCTACATCAAATTCGTACCGTTCGATGATAATACGATGCATCGCGATGCGATTGACGTTTCGACATGGTGCACTTCTTGGGAATAAAATCGATCAACTTTTTCTTTTTTCTTTTTTTTTTTTTTCGATTTTCATATATCGACCAGTCGATTTCGTCTCATTATTCGTCCATCCGGTACTAACGAAGAACTCCGTCCGTAACTCGTTTCCTTTATGTACAGACTGCCATTTCCTCTCTTTGACAGAAATCGTTCTCCTCGTTGATGGCCTTCTCGGTTCGGTAATTGGATATTACTTAATGGAAAAGGAAATAAAGATGGACGACTGTCATAATATTTTCCTTTCGTATTATCGACTTATTATTATTTAACATAAAATTTCATCTTCCTCTTTCGTCTTCTCAATCTCCTTCTTTATTAATTTTCATTTAATTAATTTATAAAAGAGATATATCGAATAATCAATCGAACTGCATGTATTCGTCATTCGTTCACTTACATTTCGTCGGCAATGACTCTTCAAACGTTATCATATTTTCTACAAATATGGCGTCCAATGTAAACGTCACGTCTTCGTTAGAATCATTAATTATTATGCGTTAAGCGTATATATCGTATTTTATGGGGCTACCATTTTTATCGATCCTTTTGAACGTACGTGCTAGTTCTCTTAGTCAAAAGTATTTGAGACGTGAAATTGAAAGCGACGTTCGACGTAAATTTTTTTTCCTTTTTTTTTTTCTTTTTTACTTTTTCTTCCCTTCTTTTTTTTTTTCTTTTTTTTTTTTAACTAATACAACTTTACTTCGATAGAGCGAGAAGAGAAGTCGAAGGGAACGGGGAGGCTATTTTTGATTTAGATGACATAATTTTTCTTTCGGAGTGAGGGGTGGTAGCATAGAAAGGGGGAAGGTTAGAAGAAGAGATGCGAAGGAAAAAATGAAAAAATGAAAAAAAAAAGAAGAAAAATATAGTTCCCATCTCTGTCTATCTCTCTCTTTTCACGCAACCCGACAGCCTTTAACGAAAGAGGGAAGGATAGAGAGAAGAGACGACAGAACGTACGGTTCAAATGTCACGTTGCTTTATTTTCGTTTATATTTAGAAACGAGACAGAGAGAGTGAGAGAGAGAAAGAGTTCAGCCGGTGTCACTTACCTCTGAGCTCGCGACACTCGGTCGCGATGATTTTCATAAAAGGAATAAAAAAAAAAAATAAAATAAAAAAAATCAACCATCTCGATTTATGTCAAAAAAAAATTCGAGATTATCGATTATTTAATTATCTCTCGATCATTCATCAAACATAATTCATTCTATAAACACGCCTCTTAATTAAAAAAAAATTTTTTTTTTTTTTTTTATCAATTAGGAAAACGTAGCAAAGGGAGGATTGATCGATAATTATCTAGATTATCGATGAAATGAATAATGCGATAATAAGAAACTTATTAAATAATATAAATATAGAATGAAAATTAATAAAAAAAAAAGAAATGATCTATTGTTTTGTCGATTTAATCGGGTTAATGAATTTGTTGCAACGTTTAAACGAAAGATCGTTTTAATCCCGATATTTAAACCATGTCGCTTCGATATATATGTATATATACACATACATAACATACATAACACACATACATACGAATATAACATACATAACATACATACATACATATATATATATATATATATATATATCTTTCTATTTTAGGATCGTCTCTCCCTCGACTTACCGTTCATTTCGTAACTCTGATATACCTTGTGAGCGTTCGAGCACGACGATTCTCTTAGTACAAAGTTCTACTACCTCGAGACTTCATTTTAAATGAATGGGCGTAAGATTGAATGGTTACGTGGAAAAAAGAAACTTGCATTTGTTCTATCGGAATAAATGTAACCCGTTAGATTTTATATATACTCTCTATTTTATCCTTTTCTTTTTTCGAACGAATAAATAATCTTCATATACGCTCATTAACGAGACGATTATGCGTTTTGGACTTTTTTTTTCTCACCTGTTTTCTTTTTTTCTCTTTTTTTTTTTTTTTTCTTTTTTTCTTTCTTTTTTTCTCTTTTTTTTCTCTCTCTCTTTCTCTCTCATTATTATAATTCTTTAATAATATCCAAGTATCTTATTTAATAATGGTTAATTAAATTGCAATAAGTATTATTCGTATATAACGTTGTTCTATACAGTCCGCGAAAAGGAATGATACATTTAATAAAGAAAACTCTTTTAAGTTGGCTATTATACGAGCCAGTAGTGCACAAAATGTGTTGCGAAGTGAACGTAAGAATGAAACGCGACGGGAGAATCCTGAGAACCATCAGACAACAAAGTTTTATATTCGGTTTACCTGTTATTAACGGATAGAGATGGAAAAAGTAGAGGTTAGAGTTAAAAAGAGAGAGAGAGAGAGAGAGAGAGAATTCTCTATTTAGTGTTACATATCATCATTTGCAAGTTTCTCATTTAATTATTTCTATCCTTTGTTTCTTTTTTCATATTTTTTTCATTCTTTTTTTTCTTTTCTTTTTTTTTTTTTTGTAATAAATTCTTGTTCAACGTTCTCACGTAAATACGAAAACTCGCTAAATATGAAGTCATATTTTATCGATAAGATATCAACAAAATTAGCATGTCCCAAAGTCAATGTAAATTGTCATAGATCCAATGAGAGATAACGATAGAAGGTTAAACATGAAATTTACGTATATGTATTACGTACATATGTATATGCATATATATATATATATATATATGCATATACATATGTATATATGTATAGTTGTAAGGATTCGAGACAATCTTTATCATATTGCACTCGTTGCGAAGCAAACGTCACTCTATCAAGTTCGAGGTCAACCACGACTTTCTTTGCGATTAACTAACGCCTGTCCGTATGCTTGTTCGACGATGGATAACACTCGCGAAACCGCAGGTATACTAACCCACATCCGTCAATTCGATGAACAGAGTAATTCATTATATTCTATTATACTTGGAAATCTTTGTTTTTTATTTTTTTCTTATTTTTTTACTTCCTTCTTTTCTTTCTCCTTTTCTTTTTTTTTTTTTTTTTTTTTTTCTTTTTTTTTTTTTTTTTTTTTTGAAGCTACCATTATACATAATTCTTTCGATCGAAAATGTTTTTTTTTTTTATATTTTCATTCTTTTTTTTTTTTTTAATTCATATTTTTTTTTTTTATCGATCGACGTAACAAAGTAGAACGTAAGTGTTAAAGGACAAAGAAAAAGAAAAACCAAATGGAATGTTAGATAGTGTCTTCTTCTACTTCGACGAACTACAATGAGCACGCGATTTGCATAGTAATTTATGTATACGTTCTTTCAGTCATTACCAAGCAGAAGATGAACGTTCGAGATTAGTAGAAAGTATGATTAAAGGATTAAGCTTATAACATATATATATATATATAAAAGTGTTGCAAGTGTTTTGTCCATCGCTTAATGGTACACATTTGGTTTATTAAGAATTATTAAATTATCTTTCACGAGATTATAAAACAGGAATGAGATATATACGTGATAATGTTAAAAAAAAAAAAAAAGGAAAGATAGAAAAAAAAAGGAAGAAAAAAGAAAAGAAGCATTTATATAGACGGTCGGAAATTACTCCTACGGGATCCCATATGTCTCATAACGTGGCTCGAGGACAGTCCTTTATCCCTTTTTCGTGAAGGAACGAATAACTTGTTGGTTGTTTGTTTGCTTGCTAGCTCGCTTGCTCGCTTGCTCGCTTGCTCGCTTGCTTGCTTGCTTGCTTGCTTGCTTGAACGAGGACAACTTATATAGCGAATCGTTGCATATAAATTTCGTGGTTGAGTTATAGGTATTAGATAAGATCAGGTGTCGCGGTAAGCAACAACGTTTCTTGGTATTATCGATTCGTGCTACGGAATTGTAACCATACAACTAAATCAATAGGGAATAGAAAGTTGAATAATAATGGTGATAGATTTTGTTTAAATAATCTATGTGTTGAAAAAATATTTTATAGAGAAACGTGGATGTATTCCTTTTCTTTTTTTTCTTTTTTTTTTTTTTTTTTTTTTTTTTTTTTATCATCGAGGATTAAATCATTATCATTAATTAAATAAAAATTATGTTGAAGAATTCTCTCTCTCTCTCTCTCTCTCTCTCTCTCTCTCTCTCTCTCTCTCTCTCTCTCTCTCTCTCTCTCTCTCGTTGTTTCCACTCTGAAGCATTTTTTCTTTTTCTTTTTTTTTTTTATTAATATATCAACCGAACAGATTTTTCGGTCCAACAGCTGCACGCGGCTGCATTAGAACAAAGCAAACTTGGCTCTATACGTACGGCATATTGCATTTGAATTCATAGCTGCGCTTTCTGCATTCCCAGACGATGGCTCTTGTTTCTCTCTCGCGTTCTCAAACTCAACATGGGTTTTATTTATATATCCATTTGTACAAAAAAAAAAAAAAAAAAAAAAAAGAAAAAAAGGAAAAAAAAAAAGAAAAAAAAAAGAGAAAAAAAAGAAAAAAAAAAGAAAATAAAAGAGCAAGGGAACAAAAAAAAACGAAAGAAAAAAGAAAGAAGTTTCGAACGAAGATTTCAGAGAGATGAGCTTTAGAGTATGTCGTTAACTTAAAACATTTGCATCGAATAAATCGCTTCTCGCTCTTTTTTTTTTTTTCTACATTTTTTTGTCTCTCTCTCTCTTTCTCTCTCTTTTCTGCCTGTTAAGAAAAGAAAAAGAAAGAAAGAAATTAAGAAGGCGAGAAAAGAAAAAAAGAATAAAAAAGAATGATTTTAGCCGGTTTAATCCTCCTATGGCGCGTAGTAGATAACGGCAGATGGCGAGGAATACGAAAGTTTTTTTTTTTCTTTTTGAAATGGAATCAGGAACGATCTCACGAAAGTCATGCGAAATTGTACGAGTCACGAAGATGCGCACGTGGAATTGGAGTTTCTTGGAATTCGAAACTGAGTTTAATGCACGCCTTGCCTTCACACGCGTGCCAAACTCTTGGCTGGCCTATGCGCGGCCCCAGAGTCAAAATAACTTTGAACTCTTCGTTGAGCGATTAGAATCTCTCTTTCTCGATTTTACCTTTCTCTTTCTCTCTCTCTCTCTCTCTCTCTCTTTCTCTCTCTTTCTCTCTCTATCTCTATCTCTCTCTGTCTCTCTCATTCTTTCTCTCTCTCTCTCCTTTCTCTACGTGAGAAAATTAATAAAATGAATTCGGCATATAATAACACTATGAAAATGCTTTGAGAAATGTATAATAATATATATTTCTTACATTTTATTTCTTTATCCATTTTATACGTTCACCACAGACACGCGCACACGCGTAAACGCGTATGTAATTTTTTTTTTTTTTTGTTTTTCTTTTTCTTTCTTTTTCATGAGAGAGTAAAAAAATATATAGATAGATATCTTATCCGTCGTATCAGCGGGTCCTTTCATCAAGACTATTAGATCCGTAAGCACGTTTCTGTTTTATGTATTTGTATGTACATATATCTGTATATGCGTGTGTATATGTGTATATATATATATATATATATATATATATATATATATATATATGTATCTATGCGGTGAAAACGTTTCTGTTAAAACTATTCCCGCAGTTAAGTTATTTCTGTCCTTTCCTGTAAACTTTTTCGTCGTTTACGTATATACATACATACATACATACATACATACATACATACATACATACATACATACATACATACATACATACATACATACATACATACATACATGCATTACATAGATAGATACATACATAGTAACTGTTGAAGTTGAAACAATTAACACTTCTAATTTTTCCATATCAAGATAACATTCATGATTTCGATAAACTGTCGATTGAGAAAGAAAGAAAGAAAGAAGGAAAAGAGAGAGTGAGTGAAAGAGAGAGAGAGAGAGAGAGAGAGAGAGAGAGAGAGAGAGAGAGAACGTAACCATCGGAACGTTTCCTTTTCCTCGTTATTCTATTTCGTCCTGGAACACTGTATCTCAGAGACTTGATTTACGAGTTTGGTAATTGAAACTGACAAGGTCTGGGATGTCGTTGAAAGGAGAGAAAAGAATCGAGGGTTTGTCGTTAAGAGGGTGGTAGAACGGGGATAGACATAAGCATAAGGAAAGGGATAGGATGGGGAAGTAGGAGGGAGGGAGGGAGGGAGGGAGGGGGAGGACGACTTAGGGTTCCTGCTTCGTTTACACCGACACCTCGACAGAACGTCGACGATCCCTCAGAGGGCCCGCTAACGATCCGACATCGTGAATCGAGCCACTCGTCGTGAATCTTCTTCTTAATTTCCTCCTTCTCTTCCTCCCCTCTCCTCTCTCTCTCTCTCTCTCTCTCTCTCTCTCTCTCTCTCTCTTTCTTTCTCTCTCTATATATATATATATATGTGTTTGTGTATCTCTGTATCTCTGTATCTTTTTTCTCAATGTCTTTCTCGTATCTGTTTCTACTTTTTCTTTTTCTTCTTCTTCTTCTTCTTCTTCTTCTTCTTCTTCTTCTTCTTCTTCTTCTTCTTCTTCTTCTCCTCCTCCTCCTCCTCCTCCTCCTCCTCCTCTTCCTCCTCCTACTTCGACAAACGACCTTTAATTCGTCCAGCTTCTTCACTTATCCATCGTGACTCATGCCACTTTTCCCTTCGACGTATTATTTTAACCAGGATTTATATCGTCTGTGGTTCCTTCAAGAACCTCCGACGAAGTCTTTGCAAACAGAGAAAGAATTTATCGAAAGGCGTAAAGTCGATTAGTAGCAGTCTTACGTCCAAGAGACCATTATAGCGAAACGTTGAATCTGTACGTGGTAGTAAGTACTTTTAGAATGGTCGTGGCAGCGATTTATAAACTATCGCTTTAAAAAAGAAAAAAGAAAATAAATAAATAAAAACAATGCAAAAAACTTAATCAATTTTTTTTGTTATTATTTCTTTTTTTTTTTTTTTCGTCATCTCAACATCGCGTTTACATCTCTCGGACAAAAATGCTTATAAGACAAATTTTGATTTTGAACCAGAGTAAATGCGTCGATATATTTTCTATTTAGTTGGTCTTAGCTTGTTTAACGTAAATTTGTATATTTTATAAATTGAAACGAAACGAGACGCTTAGATATTTATGAACGTTATATAAATTTTACATTTAAAATCTAAAATGTCACGACTTTGCGTCGTACTATATAAATTTGATATATCATAAATGTTTCTAACGAAAACTAATTACATTGACTTATAACTCCATTTTCCTCGGAGAATGCCATAGAGCGTACGTTTGTTTTAAGTCAAATTAAAACGTGATTTATTACGACGTGTAAGAAAAATATACGTATAATTCATGTTTGATTATTTGAAGAATAATTAATGACTCGTAACAGTTTGAAAAGCACCCGATCTATGTGGTCCAACGACAATATCGTGATTTATAACGGATTATAATGTCGTATTACCGTTTCTTGCCTTTTAAGTTGGAGAAAAGGGATTAAGATTTACGAGAGTTCTACGACGTACTTGTCGCCGTCGTTTTCGATCTTTCTTTCTCGCGAAACTACGCAACTATGCGCGCAAGAAATACGCAAAAGGATGTGTCTATATTTTCATGCTAAATCAAGAAAGAGAAAAAGAAGAAAGAAAGGGAGAGAGAGAGAGAGAGAGAGAGAGGGAGAGAGAGAGAGAGAGAGAGAGAGAGAGAGAGAGAGAGAAATAAAACGCGACAGAGATAACCATTTACGAACGTCTTCTTCAAAGAAATGTCTCTCTCTTTCTCTCTCTCTTTCTCTCTATTTTTCTCTTTCTCTTTCCTTATCTATTCGTAACACCGACAAATGATCAATTTCTCTAACGTATTTCCTCGAATATAACAAAAGAACGATCTCTTATATGATATCATTTCAATTGCTAGGATCGAACAATGATCGAAAAAGTAATAATCGATTGGCTACACAAATGCGAGAAATCTCTCTCTGCCATTTATTAGATCTTGAATCGTATGAGTCATTACTGGTGGGTATCGATACGCCCACATTTATCAGTCGATCATTCGTATGTTTCCATTCGATCATTCGTATATAAAACTTCGTATAGAAAGATCGTAAGAGAAAATAAATTCTGTTATGTGTATCCTTTTTTTTCGGCTTTTCTTTTTTACTCTTTCTTTTTACCCTCTTCTTCTTCTTCTTTTTTTTTAATCCTCATGTAAAGGATACACTTTGAGAGTGCTCGGACGAAAAAAAAAAAATTGGAGTACGTACTCGACGATCAACAACGATCGATCGATCGATCGATCTATCTTTCGTCTTGCGAAAAGAAAAAAAAACCTGTTGAAAAAAAAAAGAAGAGGAGAAAGGGAAAAAAAAAACAAACTTTGAGTCAACCGACAAAATCAAACACTCGACGGGATTTTAAGTAGAACTCGTGTCACGAAATCCTTTCGATCTTCATTCATTCGTATACATATACATATAAGTATATGTATACACATACATATTTGTACGTTCTCTTTGTTGACTCTACTCACTTTGGCTTCTCTGCTCGGAAAGACAATCATCGTCATCCTGGTTGCAATTACACGCTTCTCGAACACGTCGAAGATATCCTGGCGAGCAGAAAAGCGAGGGAGTGAGAAGACGTCTCGTCGGGTCGTTAACGTAGATCGTAATGACGTTTAAGAATTAACGCCCCGTAAAAGACCAGCTCGGTAAGAGGTAAAAGCAAATAGTGAGTGTGTGTGTGTGTGTGAGAGAGAGAGAGAGAGAGAGAGAGAGAGAGAGAGAGAGATAGGACAGTACCGATCGAGGGAAATTAGTGGGAACGCAAAATTCGCAAAAAGGGGTTGAAAGCACGTTGAACGCGCGTGCCATTGAAGCAGCGCGTGGCCTGTTTGCTCGCGTGCACACGTGCTTCGGCTTTGGAGATTAAAGTAGCCGACGAAAATCGTATACGTGTTCGTTCTCGCTTTGCTACCGCCTAATGTCCGTGAAGCAGCAAAAGAGAACGGGGGAGAGTGAGGTTGAACAGGGTGGGGTGGAGGGGAGTGGGGTTGAGAATGAGGGATGGAAAGAGGAGTAGGAGAAGAGGGAGGAAGCGACGCGTGTCCCATCGTGGTTTTTCAAGTGTTCCCAAAATAATCTCTTGCCCTCGTCAGGGAGAAAAAGAGAAAGAGAGAGAGAGTGTGTGTGTGTGTGTGTAAAACAGAGAGAGTGAGAGTGAAAGAGAGAGAGAGAGAGAGAGAGAGAGAGAGAGAGAGAGAGAGAGAGAGAGAGAGAGAAAGATAGTCAAGAGAGAGGGAGTTTTCAAGCAGAGACTCCTCTCACAGAAGAGAGAAAGACGAAACGAGAATGTCAGTCCACGAGAACTAGTCATCCTAGCAACGTTGCTACTTGAAGACTCCGACAGAGTGACACAAAGGGCACATTGGAAAGTGGGGGAAAAGACGTCTTCGTGAACGATCTTTTTCTTTAAACCACGTGCGAATTTATTCCTCTTATTCTTATTCCTATTCTTATTCTCATTCTCATTCTCATTCTCATTCTGTTTTATTCTTATTCTTCAATTTCCTATTGATTTTCATTATAAAGGTACGCCATCTTTCTTCGTTCGTCTCGTATAATTCTCGTATATTTCATTTTAATCAAATCAATACGAAATTTCGAATATATTCCAATATCATACCGCATTCTTTGAACCTTTTAATACGAGTGTACGCGATGACAGGAATAATGTATTATCGAGACGAATAAAATCGACATTCTCTCTCTCTCTCTCTCTCTCTCTCTCTATATGTATATATATATATATATATATCTTCTCCGACATTCTTTTCTTTCAACCGTGTGATTACTATCCGATCCGATTCGATCCGATCAGATTGATCTTGCGATAATAATCACGGTACAACAAATTCGATGCGAATTTGTACGCGTGTGTATGGTTTTTTTTTTTTAACTATTTAATCTCATTGGATATAATAAGGATGCC